TAAAGATGAAAGAGAATGTGAAAGAATAAATTAGTATGATGAAAATCTCTGTAAAACAAATGTCTAGAAAGGTAAAACAGATAAATGACAAAGTGGAAATATTGGGAAGTAAAAGAAAGGTTATAGTCAGAAATTTGGAAGAGAATTAGATAATCTGGCTGTATTAGAATTCAGAGAGAAGTAATTTTGTTTAAGAATTTAGAGCAATCTAGAAGATTCTGGTGAAGATATTAGAGAAAAGCTTATCAATGACTTAGCAAAATTTTTGGATTGGGAAGAGAAGTATACAAAGGCAGAAAGTGATAAAGTATGTAGAATAAATACAAAATTTGTGAAAATAAGAAATGTTTCAAGGGGTGAATTGGAGCACTGTATCAGGAAGAAGACAAGGGATCAAGTTTTGCAGCAGCATTTTAATACAAAACTGAAAATTGATAATACAGAGATAATTGTTCCTAAAGAAATGCCTGTTCAAATTTTGTGTCAGAGAAAAAAAAAATGTTTTTTGACTGAGTGATTAAAGCAGAAAAATATTCCATGTCATTGACACATATTAGAAGATGTGATCTTTATTTTTAAAAAGCAAAGATTTCGACTGAATTCTGTCCAAAAGGCAATGGAATTTCAAATAAAATAAAATAAAATTCAAAGAAGAGTTGGAGAGATTCAAATGGAACTGTCAGTGGACACTCCAAAAGAAAACTGAGGGGAGATCCTGAATTAGGTGCTACAAATAGTAATAGAACTTAGACTTATATATCGCTTTACAGTGCTTTACAACCCTCTCTAAGCGGTTTACAGAGTCAGCATATTGTCCCCAACAATTTGGGTCCTTATTTTACCAACCTTGGAAGGATGGAAGGTTGAGTCAACCTTGAGCCTGGTGAGATTTGAACTGCCAAATTGCAGGCAGCCGGCAGTCAGCAGAAGTAGCCTGCAGTACTGCACTGTAACCACTGTGCCACCGAGGCAATGTTTTAAAAAATGGCTTGTTATGGATTACAAATGCTTAAGGTGGAATATAAATGCAGCAAATTCCCCTGAAAAGAGAAATTAAATTAAAATTAAATATGGAATTGTTTTGTATGTAAATCCCCAACTAAAAGCAGAACTTGTATTGACTGATGGTAGATTTGTTAGGCTGGAGGTTAATATGCATGGAACTAAGGCTTTGACACTGGGAATTTGTGCCCCAAATGAAGACAAACTATTGTTTTACAAATGGAGAAAGTAATATATGTTACTTCTGAAAATTAGTGTTTGATGGAGGATTGGAATGAAGTGATCGCCCTACAACTGGAAAGAACTTCTGAGAAAAATATTAAAATGAGTCAAAGCAAGTTATCAAAATTTTCTTTGATTTGATGGACAACTTACAGCTGGTTGATATATGGAGATAGAAAAATGGCAATTCAAGAAATGATGCCTATTTTTCTGAACGATATAGATTCTTTTCAAGAATAGACATGATTTGGATTTTAAAGAAATTGGCTACTAATGTATACCCACAAAGGAACAAGATTTGATTTAATAAGAAGCTATAGGCCCATATCATTATTGAATAATGACTACAAGTAGTTCACAACAATTCCAGCTGACAAACTGAAAATAATTTTGCAAAAATTTATTCGTGAGGATCAATGTGAGTTTTTAATCTAAAAGTCAATTAAAGGACTATGTTTATAAATGGGTTGTACATTTTGGAGTATTTTGAGAACATAACAAAAAAACTATATTGATCTTCTAAGATGCAGAAAACAATTGGAATTGGGCTGCAATACAAGGGATATTCACTGTCTCTTCTCTTCTTTATTTTGATTCTTGAAATACTGAATATAGATATAAGACAAGATGAGGGAATTGTGGGAGTAAAGATTTTAAAATCTGATGAGCCTGGTGGCTCAGCAGACTGATAGCATTGTGATTAACACCAGCTGTCTGCAATTACTATAAGTTTGAATCTCACCAGGCTCAAGGTTGACTCAGCCTTCCATTCTTTCTAAGGTAGGTAAATTGAGGACCATTTTACATTGTCATAACAACTTTAAAATACAAAAATTATGAAGTTACAAAGTATAGATTAACTTTTTGTTGTAGTATATCTTGCTGTTTTCAAGCAGAAAATATCTGCTTGAGAGCCTGAGTGGCGTGGGAGGCTAATGCCTCCTACTAAGGCAGCATTTAACATCCAGCTGCCTGCAATTACTGCGAGTTCAATTCTCACCAGGCTCAAGGTTGACTCAGCCTTCCATCCTTTCTAAGGTGGGTAAAATGAGGACCCGGTTTGTGGGGGCAATAAGCTGACTTTGTATAAATATACAAAAGTATGAAGGCTATTGCTTAACGCATTGTAAGCCGCCCTGAGTCTCCGGAGAAGGGCGGCATATAAATCAAATTTAAAAAAAATTAAAAGAAACTTATAAGTTAAGGGTTTTTGCAGATGATTTGGAGTTGGTTATGAAAGATCCTTTAAAGGGAAATAAAATATTAATGACAAATTAAAAGATTTTGGTGCATTACTAGGTTTCAAGATTAATAAACAAAATAGGGAGATGTTAACAAGAACTGTGAAACTGGAAGATCAAACAGAATTGATGAATAAAATGGGCTTTAAGATTGACAGGAAGGTAAAATATCTGAATATCACTATGACAAATATGAATTGTATGTTATTTCAAAATAACTATGTTAAGACATGGATTGAAGTTTAAAAGATAGTTTAAGATGGGGAGAATTACAACTGTCATTGCTGGGAAAAATTTCTGTGATAAAAATAAATGTCTTCTGTAGAATGATGTTTTTGTTTCAATACTGACAACTGATGCACCATTTAAACAGTGGCAGAAAGATATAACTAAATTTGTGTGGCAGCGGAAAGAGCTACAAGTTAAATATAAGGTGTTATAAGATGCAAAAGAAATGTTTATCTGATTTGAAATTGTATTTTGCAGCTTGTTGTTTTGACTTGGATGAAAGACTGGATGTTACTGAGAAATGAAAAGTTTTGGAGCTAGAAGGACATGACCTGAGATTTGAGTGGCATGGATGTTTGTGGCATGACAAAGTCAGGGCTAATGCAGATTTTAAAAGCCATTATGTTAGATGTGCCATATTAAGAATATGGAATAGATAGAAAGCCAGGTTATGCCCAAAAACACTTCTGTAGATCTTGGCACAAGAAGCATCTTACTGTATATACAAGGGCAAATACAAACGGCTAATTTATTGTGAGATACCAGAATTTTGTGAAGGAGAATATAAAATGAAATCAAGAGAAAAACTGGTGAGAGACGGATATAACCATAGAAAATGAAGAAGCTAAAATACTCTGAGACTTTAGAATTCAAATAGAGAAGTACACCTGCCACATCATACCCCAGACTTTAACAATTGTTGGTAAGAAAGGCAAAAAAAAAGTCTGGATAGTGCACATGGCAGTACTTGGAGGAAGCAGAAGGGAAGAGAAATAACTAGAGAAAATTCACAAAATACAAAGACCTGTAAATAAAAGTAGAATAACTATGGCAAACAAAAGCAAAGAATAGTACCAATAGGATGGAATCTTGGGGGCAATCCCAAAACCAATAGAACACCACTTGAACACCATCCACATTCACAAAATCACCGTCAGTCAATTGCAAAAGGCAGCGTTACTTGGGACTGTTTACATCCTGTGACATTAAACAAAAACATCTGTCTATCCCAAGTTCTTGGGAAGAACTTGATAGGTGGACAAAAATGCCAAATCAGTCTAAACATTTAGCTGACTGTGCCACCAATCAAAATTATAACTGTTATTTATATATAATTTATATGCCACCCAACTTCCAATGATTCTGAAAAATCTACTGAATGGTAATCAGAGCAGTAGCAATGAATGGGCCATGCAATGATGCTGTTGAGAAATAATCAGCCAGGCATGGAGGAGGAATCAAGCAGGAAATTAGCCTTGAATCACTGTGTAGCCTCCAAGAGCTCCAACACACATATACAGACCCCAACTCTATGGAACCTTAACTTTCTGTTTCCAAGGTAAGCTGTCTAGGGAGATTTCTTGTATTATAGTCCCATGAGGGCTGTTTCTGTCTCGGTGGAAAATACAACAGGTCCATATAAGACCCTATAACACAAAAGAGCAGGATAAAGAACAAGGGAGACAGAGAACTCTGCTCATGGGGTTATCTCCTAGGGAACTAGTTTGTCTACCCATTCTTTTAATATGGTGAACATTGTGTGGAAGCAGGACAGCATTTAGAGATTGCCTTTTTAGCCCTGGAGCAGGTCCTTTCTCCTTAAGAGACATTTTCCATTCTTATGGAGAGAAATATTAATTTACAAATGAGCCTTCAGTTATATAGTATTCTGACAGAATAATACCCACAAGAGAGTCACTAAATTTAAGGAAATAAATTGAAAGCTAATGGCTTTGTGTCAAAAGTATACATGTCCATTGTTAATTAACAACTCTATTGATATTATACCTTGATCTAAGATTGAAAGAACCGTAAAACAAACTCTAAGAACTTATAAAAACTTGCATATCTCAAATAGCAACTTATCTAGCTCTTTATGAAACTAATGCGATTTGTTTGCAAATATTTCCTCTCAATGAAATGAGAGACCAAGCAGCTAAATTAAGTGGGGAGATGGACATTAAGGATTAATGTTTATTAATGTTAAGGCTTTAGGGAAATGGGCATTAATAGATGTTTCAGATATGCTGTGGGATGTAATGACAGAAAAAGTGATTCATCTACCTTGTTTAGGTCACAAAACACAACAATCTGGAAGAGAGTTCATCTTTTGCTGTCGTGGCAAAAACCCTCTGCTGGACCTTTTCATCTAAAACATACTCCTTGATTTTTCAGCTACTGCCCATCAGAGCAATTTCCATAACTTACATGTTGTGCAGAAACACTCACATCACTCAGTATTAATTAAGGTATTGGAAAAGGTTTACTATGAAAGTACTGTGAAGTACTTTTTTTTTTTTTACTCACCTGCCTGTCTACTTCTGGAAGTAAAAGCAGGAGGTATTGTTGGAAATGCTGAGGTAATGAAAGAAATGTGTGTTTGTTTATTAAAGCCCTCAAGTTGGTATTCACAAGAATAGATCCTGGTGTTTCTATATCAATGTCCTCGGCTTTGGTCCATTTCAAGTGTCCTGGATTAAACAAATAAGAACACATTTAACTCTATGACAAATAAAGGAAGGGATAGTTACGTTTAATAAGTAAAATTCAAAACATTTACATTTCATATAGTATAGCAGCTGTCCATGTTAAGGAGAAGAGCACTTTCTTTCCCAACACTTTTGAAAGCATTCTTCTATACTGTACACCCCACACTTCCTTTCACATGTGCATAGTATTTTAGTTTCCTCTTTTCATATTATCAAAATAATGTTGTTGCTTTATTTTATAGAAGGAACTACCTAACAATAGAAAATGAGTTAACTTCCAGTCTCATTACTTCATCAAACTATGCTGTTAAAATCAGTTGCTAAGCAAAATGTGTTAGAAACCAATAAAATGTGTTATAAACTCGCAATAAAAGCTGTTTTAAAATAGAAACTAGCAAAGATCACACTACATTATAAATTGTTCTTTGTACACTTTCATGAAGGAACTAAAGCCACTAACACATTGTAAAGTTATGAATTAATCTTTTATTTAAAAAAAAATCTACATTTTCATCTTTGAGTTGGTAAAATAAAAACCAATGAGAAATAGAAGACAAAACAGGATTATGGAGGTCAATAATCCATTACACAGGCTGTGTTACTGAAATAACTTTGGATCTTTTGACAATGGTCTAAGTAAGCTTCATGAAGAACAGCTAGAGTAGGTACCATGCTGACCTCATCAGGAAGGTGTTAAACTAACAGGGCAAGATTGGTAAGAGTTCAGAAACAAATATGCATCTGAGCCTTAGAGCTAAGAAAACAGGCCACAAAAAGAAAAGCAGGAGGCCAGAATGAAACTCAGAGTGTCACAGATAGTCTGGTAGCCAGTGCCAGTCAAAATCTCAATTATTTCTACATTTATACATAGGAAATGGAAAATAAATAGGGAGAAGTAGGATCCTAAATTAACAAGACAAACACAAAAACTGAGACTCACTTATGGCTGGCACATAGCACAGGAAAGCTACAATTTATTCATAAGGAACAGGTCCAACAAAAATAGGGAGGGGAGTGGTAATGTATATAAAGGAAAAACATGCCTGTGTAGAAATTCAGTAATCAGAGCATAAATGCTCTACTGAAAGCATTTATACAAGAATAAAATGAGACAGAAGGGAGAAATAAAGATTATATTGGAAATTTATTAAAGATCACCTTAAGATACGGATGAAGCCTTTATATCAGATTACCAATCTTTCAAACACCAATAGCAAAGATTTAATTATAATGGGAATCAGCTGGGAATCTAGCTCTGCTAAAAATCAGAGATCCAACAATTGTTTCTCCTCTCTTGATGACAATTTTATTTGTCAGAAAGTGGAAGAATAACAGACTTTGTCATCCTAGACCTAATTATCACTGGCATGAAATAATTAGTTGAAGTAGTAAAGATGCCTGGTAGCTTTGGGAAATTGGTCATGTTATCCTTGAATTCATAATCTCCAGGGGAGGAGGTATGGAAAAGAATCAGACCATTATTTTATATTCCAAAAGAGTAAAAGTTGATAACCTTTGGAGGGAAGGTTGGAGGGAAGCACAACAGGGTTATGTCCTGAACCCTGAGTTATTCAATATTTCAATGATTTGAAAGAAAGAGTTGAAGTGATAATGATCAAATTCACAGATGACACAAAATTGGATTGGGTGACTAATATTTCAGAGGAAATAAAGTTTTTTAAATATCTAAACAAGACTGAGTAGTGGGCTGAAGCAAACAGTGCAGAATTTAACAGTTGGAGGAAAAATATAGGACCCAAGTATAGGATGGGAGCAACCTGATTTTGCAGTAATATCTGTGAAAAGAATCTGGTTGATCTTGCCAACCACAAGTTAAACATGGTTAGCTATGTACTGAAGCTTTTAAAAGACAAATTCTATCTTGGGATTTACTAGCAGAAATATGGAGTCAATATGGATTACGGGAGTTAATTGTTTTACTCTAATCAGATCTCAATTGGAATACTGTTTGTATGCAGTTCTGGACACTATAATTCAAAAAGGATTGTGACAACTTGAAGTGAGTTCAGAGATAGGCTACCAAAATGGTGATTGGTTTTGAAAGCAAGGTCTCTGAGGAATAGTCAAAGAATATGCTTATATTTTACAGAAGAGGTGACTAAGAAAACAACATAGCAGACTTTAAATGTCTGAAAATTTGTCACACAGGGGTAAATTTATCCCCTATTACCTCAGAGATCAGATCCAGAAGCAATGAGCTAAAAACTACAAGGAAATAAACTTGGTATCAGAAGGAACATCATAATTATGTAAACTGTAAATCAGTGGAACAAGCTGCCACATGAAATGTTAAGATCATTGTTGTCTACACTGGAAGTAACAGGGATTTCAGTAAAACCTGAATTCATTTATTTTTAATTTTCAAAAACTGAAATGTTAAAAACAGAACTTAAAAATAAATAGAATTAAAAATCAGATACAGTAAATGTTCTTAATGGGAATCTTATTTCTCGTACATTTTCCTGGTTTTAAAAAGTTTAAAAAAAAAGTCCTGTTTATGCAACTCCAAGATGCAAATTAAAAGTTTGGGCTGGAGGGCACAGAATCTTAAAACAAAATCAAAATTTTGGGTCCATTAAAACCATATTCTCTCAATGATATAAACAATAAAAACTCAACAAATACATTTTCTCATTTTGCTTAATTTAACTTTCAAAATAATTTATTAGATACACTAATTTTCCTTCTTCTGTCTTTCATAAAACTGAAGATAGCTTATATAAAATTACAAGAACCTAAGCAGAAATGCTTAGTTTAAGCAGAATAGTGGTATCATATCCCATCAGGCTGTCTCATGAGATAGTAATTCTAGTACTTAATAATCGCTAAAAATGAAGACAACATCAAAAATTCTATTTAGCCCTGAGTTTTGAGATTTATTGATGTACTGATTTATTACATTTGTAATCTATCTTTACTGCAAGATGTCAAGGTGTTACACACATGTGGAATAGAGCTGGGGAGTGACATTTATCTTACAGTCACAACACAGTCTGTAGTTCAAAAGAAAATAACAATTGGGCACAAAAAGGGGCAAATGGGAGACCTCTATGATTATGTGGAGGAAAATGCTCCTGTTTGAACAAAGGTACAATACTTCTGCATTGATACGTGCATTTTCATAACTTTTGAATGAAACCATGCTTCTCAGTTCCAGGCAATGATCCTATGTATTCAGAGCAACACATATGTTGCTGTTTTGCGATGTTGTAATGTAAGCCATCCAGAGTCACTCAACAATGAGTTGGGTGGTTAAATGAATAAATAAATAGTATATAGTTTTTAATTACTGCAAGGCATCAGAATGTCTGATTGGTGCAGCTTCTAAATACTATGAAATAAATTTGCAGGTGAGAAAATAATGTTTTCCCATTAATTGTAGAGCAGAATATTAGTTACTGGTTTGAAGATACAGGATTATGCATAGACAGCTCTACTTTTTAATGGATCACATTGTATTTGTTGTACTGATGTTGCTTCAAAACTTAGGGAGCCTTCTCCACTGCCTGAAAACTTTAAGTCAGATATCCTCATATAACCTGAAGTTCAACTAGCTATACAGAAATTGCAAATTGACATCCCTTCTCCCAGACAAAGAAGTATCTTTGTGCCTGCATGGACCCCTTTGAATTCTAATCATTTGATTATAAGCAAGCTATCCCAATACTATATAAACACAAAATGGTTTTCAGCAAAGATTGATGGTTCAATTATTCCCTGAAATGCTACAAGATCTTCAAAACTGCAAATATCACAATTCAACAGTTATAAAAATACAATGTTCCACTTATTTTTAATGAGATTAGGCAAGGACGGTTGTGTTCAAAAGGGTTTTTAAGTTGAAGGCAACCACATTTTCATTTATAAAAACAGCTGTGGCTACCTAATCTAGCATTCTGTCCCCACAATGCCAGTTAAATGCCTGTGGCAAGGCAATATGCAGAATACAAGTACAACAATATTTTCCTCCTCATGATCCACAGCAACTGGGATTGAGAGATATGCAATCTCCTAGACAGACCGCAATACAAAACCATCCAGACTGGAAATTATTGATAGTTTTATGCTTCATGCATTTGTCAAATTCTTTTTTATAATCATCCAAATTGCCAGATGTCACTGTATCCATGTGTTAACAAATTCTATAAGATATTAATTGAATTTTTAACTATCCAAGTTCATCAGATGGCCCTACGTTCTACTCCACTTTTTTTATACCGTGCCCAATTTTAGATATTTCTGTCATGTCCCATTTACTCAATTTCTTCTAAACTCATTAGTCACAAATGTGACTTTATCTCATATGGAGGATAGTCATTCACTTTCATTATTTTGGTTGCCCTTTTCTGCACCTCTTGCAATTCAATAATACTGTTTTGGTGATGCTATGAGCAGAACTGTAACTAGTAAGCCAAGGGTAGTTACACTACAGGTTAGAATGTATTTTATTATAACTGTGACATATTTATCTTCCATCCTTTACTAATGATTGCCACAGCTGAATTTTACCTGAATGTACCAAATTGCATTTTTCACAAGTGCCTCAAAAGAGAGTGATGTTTTCATCAAATCAGGGGCCAAAAATCCATTTTGTGTCAATAGTCATCACAGTCACCATCAAGGCTTCAGACTGTATCAGCATAGAGGTAAAGCAGATTTTTAAAATCTCAGTTTGCACTACTGAACAATATTTGAAATGTTAATGCCTGCTTGTATGTTTTGGAAGTTTTCAAAATCTGCTTTATTTTAACCATTTTAAGAAAACAAACTTGACTGCCTCTCTAATTTCCCAGTTATGTTCCTCACCAGCTATGCACCCAGAAAGCCTTTCTGGAAGTGAAGCTAGTAACTACTCATGAACAGCTGAGATTATGTCTTAATGGTGGTCAGGATGTGGGATTTGATTCCAAATCAGAAATGGCAGTCTGAGAGAGCAGAAATGTGCATAAATTTCTTGCTGAATAATTTCAGCCTTGCCCTACAGCAGAGTTTCTCACTTTAAGATATGCTGCTGGTTGGGAGTTGAAGTCCACAAATCTTAAAATTGCCAAGGATGAAAAACACTGCTCTAGTTCTCCTTAATGCATGCCATTCCTTCAGGAATTTTGGACTTTTCAGGAAGGCTCTTGGGATTCAAGGAGGAAGAAAATATAGGGAAGATGAGCATGGCTTTCTATTTTTGTGGTCCTACATTACAAGCCATAGTAACTTTAGCCTTATAGTCAGCTAATTTAATTCCTCATATTATCTAATACTTAAAGAATATTAAATGCATGAACAAAAATTTTCCCATTTCCCCTTCATTAATTGTGCTTCCAAGTTAGACTTTATGAAGTTATGGTACTCTTCAGATCCTCTCATTCTTTTGCTGTCACAGACAGACTCTAAAAACTTCTAAATATGTCAATGAAGGAAGCTGAATCATATTTTATAGGCAGAAAGCTGTCAAAGAATGGGATTTTATTGTATGTAAAATCTTTCATGTAAATATATTACTTAAACAAAAAAATCTCATTTTTGAAAAAGGCAGCCCTATATTTGTCTTTTGTTCCCTTTTCTGCTAAGCTATAATAAAAAATAAACATCTAAACACAAGTAAACAAAATTCTATAAAACATTAACTCTGGTCTTTTAAAAGAATAAATGCTAGTTTTGATTACTTAATTACACTGTAAAAGATATAATACAATGAAGCTTATCAACCACTGAGCCAGAAATGGCCATTTTCACATTTGCAGCTTCTCAAGACTCTTAAATTAAAACAATGCCATGAACTAAAGAGTAAATCAGCACAGTTCATATTTGTATGGTGTGCATGGGTGTGCATGAGGAGAAAGAGGGAGGGAGGGAGGGAGGGAGGGAGGGAGGGAGGGAGAGAGAGAGAGAGAGAGAGAGAGAGAGAGAGAGAGAGAGAGAGAGAGAGAGAGACTAGAAAGAGCTTTGTTATCAAAACAAAGATTTAATTTTGTCCAGATGGATGGGAAGAATTGTAAATTCAGTATTTAATGTATGACAGTTAAACAATTTTTACCACAGCTTTAATCATCAAGCAAAATTTCTTTTTAGAATCAAAATATAATTCAGAATTCATGCACAAAGAATAAAAAGACAGGAAGAGAACCTGAAGAAAAACAAATATAATAAGGAAGATACTGATGCAATAGAAAATTGCAATTTTAAAGGAGAAATAACTTCTTTCAGAACATATTGTTAATTTATTGGGAGCAGTTACACAATTAGATAATACTATGAAATGGCCCTAAATTTAAGAAGGATAAGGAGCAGTTATAAAATTAGCATTTTTGAAATATTTTAAAATATTAAATTAGGATGCAAACAAAAATCTAAGAAATAAATAAATGCAGAGTATGACTATAAATAATCCAACACAAAGCAAAAACACTTGCCTGTTTATTTATTTAATGAAACATTTTGTTACTGCCTAGGGTAAATAAGTTACATATAATTTAAAGGGGGGGGGGGAAAGGATGAGGGAGCCCAACACTTAAAAGTCTAACAGAGTGAATATAAATATTGTTTTACTATATAACCTGAGCTATTTTATGCTTATAAAGAATGAGAAAGAAAAGCCAAAGTCAGAAAAGAAATGTGACTAAGAAATATGTTAATAATACGCTGAGAAATAATGAAAAAAGATAAAGGGGGAACGGAAGAATAGTCCTCCGTGAAAAGATGGTGAAGCAAGAAACAGCTGGCTCCAAAATGGCCAATTTAGGGGAGCTCCAGACTGTCCGATAGAAAAAGGTTGTGACAGAATGGCCTGCTGGGAAAAGGTCCCCCAAAAGGGGACAACCCTGCAGAGTTCAAAGGGACAAAAGAACACAGCAAGGGAAGCCCTTGTGCACTGAAAAAAATATCCAAAACATCAAGAAAGAAAATGTGAAACTCTTTATAGTGAGTTTTTGCCTTTCTAATGTATTCTATAAAGGAAAAAGATGAGGGGTTGGGGAGACAAAAAAAAGGACATTTTAGAGACCTACTCACCTAAACCAGATTTTTTTAATCTCTTTAAATGCTGGCTCATTTGTTTTCCAGTTGGAGACTTTGGCCCATGTTTCATTTCTTTATCAGAATTGTCTGCTTCACCATTTTTAGATTCAGACCCTTTAAAAAAGCAAACGTTATACTGAAGTGCTTCCCGGTTTGGGAAAAACCAAAACCAAAAACAAAGCTAGATTTTATTTTTTTTTTACAAAAAGAAAAAAAGAAAAAACCCGTATAGTGATATCTTTATCTGTTACCCTATTTAAAGGTTATGTTTTCTGCTGACAAGTTGATTCCCTGTCACTGGAAGCAACGAAGCAAAAGCTCATAAATCCATTAAGTGATGAAAACAAGTTTCTTCAATGTAACAGTCAATAACGATGTTTGCTAATCCAATATAAATAAGCTTCTTCTCTGATAGCAGAGGCATCTTTAAAAATAATAACGCTACCTTTATAAGGAAACAAAGAAATAAAAGGAAGAATGGGAAACCCTCCCCTTGGTAAGTTAATTTTCTCCCACGTCTGAGGGGGGGAGAAAAAACCCAACCTACAATAAAAAGTGACACAGATCTCTGCACGATTCATTCACAGTGAAGCATGTAACAGCCAAAAGTAAAGGTCAGGGTTGCACTGTGGTGATTAAGATGGTGCCAGAACACAAAATCTTATTAAAAGGACAACTGTTATTGCAAGACAGGAGTATGAGAGTAATTCGCACTCCCAGAGGAGTTGTGATGGTTATTTATTTGGCTCCCTGATGGCACGGAATGCCAAAACGTAGCTCTCCCATTAAGAATCAGCATCCAAAAAGACTACTTTGCATTCCTTTAAAGCAGCTGTTGTAATTTTAATTTTTTTTTAAAGACACAGTCTTTCTCTCGTGATCCTCCCCTCCCCTGCCTCCTAACACTGAAATTAAAATCTTCCTTCTTGGAATTAATAAAATTGGTTTAAAAAATGAAACAGAATCCATCTTGTGGGAACACCATCATAATTTTTCAACATCCTAAATTTGTGCACGATAGCTCTCACCTCATCGGGAGGGCTCTTTGACTAGAAACTGTTGTTGCAGTCAGTCTGTAGCTATTTACCTGAAGGTGAATCCGACTGCTCATCAGACACCTTTAATGGTGTCAAAACAACACGAGGAACAGTCTTGTTTACCATCATTGAGACTCCATTTCTTCTTTTCTGCTGCTGTCTCAAAGCCTACAAAGAACAAAACAAAACAGAAAAATATAACACAAAATGCTGCTCACAAGTGAATTACACAAAACATTCCCCTTTCATTCAGTTAAGCTCCTTAAGATAATAATATCCAACTAGCTGCAGATTTACCACTCTTCTATTTCATCTTTCTCTCTCATTCAATCTCCCTATATTTTAATTTAAGCATAAAGAAGATGCACCTTTAAAATCCAGAACAATGTTGACAACAAAGAAGCATTCATAACTGTTTGCTCTACCTTAGCAGCAGAAACATGAGAACCCATGGAATTTAAAACTGAGATTTTCAAGTAAAACAAATCTAAAAATAAATATTTCAAAACCAGACTAAAACTGCATGTCTGTACATCTCTTGCAGGTGCATCTTCTCCCGTACACTGCTCAGTCAATCAAGTTAACACAGTGTCATCAGTATGTACAGCATGTAAGGGCTACAGTATTGATGCACTCACTCAGCCGTGAGTAGCGCTGCACAAAATCACTGCACATGGCAGGAATCATTTATTTCTGCGAAAGGGATCGGTCCTAATCTTGGAAAACCTTGCAGCACTTGGCTTCTGTCTGCTTGACTTTGGGCATTAACCTTCAAAACACGAACATGGTAAATGTGGGAGACAATCATAAAAGAATAAATATCTACAAATGGGAGGGGGTTTGTGTGTGTGTTTATTTGTGTGCATGGTTTTTTTTGTAACTGTATCAGCAACAGGGAGGATAATGCAATACAAAATATGAATAGGAACTGAATAGCTGCCAGGATATTTTATACAATAAAATAAATTGGAAGATTAGGGAACATGAATGGGAGAATCTGCCTGTTAAACAATTTACAAGCACAAATATTTAAACTGAACAAGTTACAACAAATCGGCTCACTTCTGATTATCTGGTACCTGCTTGTAATCCTCATTTTACACTCTTATCTTTGATTTGTGTGTGCATTAAAAAGACCACTAAATTTTTACCAAAGGAGATCATGCTTAGCATGAATTAATATCCTTTGTCTCCTTACGAGCATAAACGACTAATGACTTGTGAGCTTAATTCTGTAATTGCAATACAGCTGTAGTCTATTTAGATGACAATGCTTTGCACACAACACTTCAAAGGCAAAATAATTAAAAACGATTGCTTCCTATTTCTCTGGATAATAATATTTTAGAGCACAAATTCTGTCCCAGGAAGAACAATAAAAAAGCAACAACTGGGCATTTAATAGATATTTCAATGCAGAATTTATCAGAGGGGCATAAATAATAAAGGGGAATTTTTAAAAATGGCTGTCAACCAACAAAATAATTTAAACTGATTTATTGCCTTAAATCAACCGGCGTTACATACTTATGCATGTTTGTCAAAATATAATCATAGTTTTAATAAACTAAAAGCAAATAGCTCCTCTTTAACTGCACGGCAATATTAAAATTCAGTGGACAAAAAACCTCTACCTATTAATGGAAGAAAAAATAGCTTTAATATTTGCTTCCATCAGTTCGGGAACTTAAAATATAGGATATTTCAGTTACAGTAATAGAGAAACAGTTTTAATATGAATGTTCAATTCCCATCAATATTATGATAAATCTGATTGCAATGCATATTAATACTGATTTTAGCTCAGCTCCGTGAAGTTTACTCGCCTATAATTGTTATTCAAGTAGAAAATGCATGTATCCAAACTGAAAAGCCTTGTTTTACATTTCTTTATCATTAAATTTGGTGGCATCTCTATAGAGTCAGTCTAGCAATATGTTCCATTAACTGGAAAGCAAATTTCATCTGCAATTAAATGTTTAGTTGATTAAGCAACTAATTCAGTTAGGGGTTATGCTCTCAATAAATATCAATATTCATGGCCCTGAAAGGACATAATACAGTATATAAAAAATGTAAACAAAGATGTACAAACAATGAAAATCACTACCTTTGATTTGTAAGCAATAGCTATAACTATTTCTGTCAACATTTGTTTCCAGATTTAAAACATTGCAACTGTATTGTTGTATATAAATAAAATTTCTAAAAGTACTGTTTATTCAACAACAGAAGTGGCAGAAACAATTTTTATGGATTATTTAGATATATATATGCCTTACAAAACCTCATTAAGTAGTACCATGGCACAATTTAGGTGAACTGGTTCCTTCCATTTCTGGTGTAAGATGGCAATGTACATAGCCCAGACTATCCTATGTCCCCAAAAAGGTCTTACATCCAAACCTCATCTACTATGTCTGCTGCTGACTGCTCAATGTTATTATACTGTGCCTAGCTCCTTCCTCATATGAAAAGATAGCATATTGTTTGGATTGTGGAACTTAAGCAAGTGAACATCAATCACAGGAAAATGAAAGACAAGCTAATAAAGCCATTCCACATAGTGACTACTAAGAGATATTATGACAGCCAAGACACACATATAAGGTAACATCTAAAACAGTTGTAACCTACAGCAGATTAAAGGCCTCAACAGATTTCAGAAGAATGATGGAGGCAGGCATAAGGCAGAAGTTGGTGGAGGAGGAAGATAATAAGTGGTGAAATTAATAGAATCACATGGGATGCAGCTAATATAAATGAAGAAAAAGAAAAAGCCCAAGATAGTCTGGAATCACTTTCACAAAAGAGATATTAAGACGATGTTGTAGATGAATACCAACATAAATTTGAAGAAGGAACAGAAGAGTTAAATAACCATCACCTTCACCTTGGGAAAGAAGAGAGAGTGAGAAAGAAATTCAAGATAATCTATTTTGATCCTGTCTAGTATAAAACAGGGACAGAAAGAAAACCTGCCAAACTTCTGCTCTTCTGTTATTACAATCTGCAACAATAAAATAGAGCTCCTTATGATGTCTGTTTCCTGAACTGGCCTAACTTGAAAGGTTTGGCATCAGTAGAAACACTAAATACGGATAGGTCATAGTATGGGAATTGTATGCATTGCAGTATATCACCTGCATTGGAGTGGCGCAAGAGATGGGAATATTAGTAGTCACAAAAAGTGCAAAATGTACCTTTGTAAGGAAGATACACTAACCAAGTAGTAATTTACAAGCTTTGTATCACAGTTGTGGAAATCAGGATTGAATTTTCATAATTTTGATTCACCAATTTATTGAACTACTGATTTTAATAAATATGAAAGAAAATGGACATCAAAACTCTTTTTTTCCCCATCTCTGACCAGAAGCAAATTTAGATGATAATCAAACTTCTGGTGAATCACTATGTGTGATCACCCGTGCGCTCCCACAGAGAGGGCCTCCTCGGGGTGCCATCAGCCAAACAGTGCAGGCTGGTGACCCCCCAGGGGGAGGGCCTTCTCTGTGGGGGCACCTACCCTCTGGAATCAGCTGCCCCCAGAGATAAGGAGAATCCAAGACCTCAGTGCCTTCCGCCATGCCCTTAAAACCCATTTTTTCAAGCAAGCTGGGCTGGCTTAAGAAGAAATTTTTAAATGTTTTAATTGGTAGGAGTTTTAATTGGGCTAAATTTATATATCTTTTAATTGTTTTTAATATTTGTACTGCATGTTTTTTAATTTTGGCTGTACACCGCCCTGAGTCCTCAGGGAGAAGGGCGGTATAGAAATTTAAAATAAAATAAAAAAATAAATAAATGTGTGACTAATTGAGTCTTAGCAAACTATGTTCATAGATAGTGAAGATAAGACTGACACAGGCAATCTGGTGACCTCCAGAAGTTTTGGACCACAAGTCTGATAAATCTCAATCAATATGGCCAACAGTGGGGGTAATGGGGGCTATTATCTAAAACATCTGAAGTAAAATGCAAAAGTACGCATAGATCTGTAATCATGGAACAAGTAGCTGAAACAAGATAGATCTGTAATCATCTATCTTGTAATCATAAAACAAATTGATATCAATCACCAAAAAATAAGGGTAAAAGCCCTTAATCCTCCTAGTTCAAGATAACAGGTGCAATTATAGGTGTGACATAGATTATAACCCAATAGTTTAAGGTAAAATAATTAGACACTTTTACAGTTATTAACTGTAATTTAAACATTCTCAAAAATGAGACCAGTCCAGACTTAGCTTTCCTATTAAATCTCTTCAAGTCCTTATTAGTAACTTTAATTATGAAAGAAGTAAGAGTTTCCTAGATATAAAGTTGATTATTAAGAGTATTTTTAATCCAACTCATATAATTTAAAACACAGATAGTAGATGATAAAAACTATGCCGACATTTTAGCATAAATACAGGTCAACCACCTCTTTTTCATGACATTTACTATATCAAAAATGACACATAATTAAATGAAATATAAACTAATTGGCATATAAATAATCTAGAAACAGTCTAGTCTTCCTAATGTATCATTAATTACATTATGTAGTCTGCAACAATACATTACATTTGTCATGCACAGCGATCTATAAATAAGAAACCTACATTCTTAAAATGGCTGTCAGAAAAATGTTACAATATAAATCACATGGACAAAACAAAAAGTAATTTAAAAATCCCATATCATCTCTACCAGATAGACAGGAAAGCCAATATTCTCATAAAAACCAAATGTAAACAATTCTAATGCTTAACTGTCAAAAGCAATTCGTTTCATATCTGGAATCTGATTAGCAACATTAATTTAGGTTTGAAAACCATTAACTATCAGATCTCTCTTAAAACTTTCTACAATGTTTGATGTAGCAAAGAATCAAAGTACTAAGTATAAAAGCAGAATATGTCTTCAAGGCTGCAGCCAATTTATTTGACAGAGAGTAATAAAACATGCTGACCTACAAAATCACTAAAGCATCTGCATCCTTAAATACGCTGCTTAACATTTCGCTTGTATACAAGCTCAGATTCCAATAAAATAAGATGGTAAGGAATCATTTGTTGATAATTTATACTGAAAGATCTAACGTGTGCTAGATAGAAAAACATTCAATGTCAATTGAAGAGAAGTATGTTCTTTCCAGTTGCTATTTTTATCCTAAGCCC